CCCGAACCACCCCTCCCCCTTTGACGGCGCCCGTGCCAGCCTTGCTAGCGCCGTTCGCCGCTTTCTACCGCGGACTTCCCCCTACGCCCTTCGCTCATGCGGACCTCTTCTGGCCCGCTCCAGTCCGGTCCGTCATCTCCCCATGGCCGACGGTCCGTCACACGCCGCCGACATGGCGATGACCACGGCATCGGGCTCCACACCCGTGCCGGCGGACCAGGGCCATCAGCCCCAGGGGGATCTACACACCCTCCTCACCTTCTTCCTTGCGCCCATCTAGGCGCAACTCGCGACCCTTGCGCCCATCCAAGCGCAACTCGCGACCCTCGCGCCCTTACAAGCGCAGGTGGCGACCCTTGCCGCAGGCATGCAGCAACTCTAGGACGCTGCATGTCCGTCATCTCGTGGCTCCCAGTCCGGGTCCCCCGTCCTCCGATAGGGTGGCCACGACGGAGCTTCCTCCTCCGTTGCCCCTGACCCGGCCATCTTGGTGACTGTCTACGCCCCTAGCACAACGGCCGCCATGAGCCAGACCCCGCCTCAGTCTACGGGCGCACCTGCCCAGATCCCGGTCACTACGGCCACAGTACAACAACCCGCTACCTTGGTCTCAGCTTTTCCGGGTGCCCCACTTTTCCCTCCCCTTCGCACGACCGTAGCGCCACCTGGCTCTCCCCCCCCTGGGATGCCCCGCGCCGCTTGTGCGTCCACCCCCTCCACTCTTCGTCCTGCCACCCCTCGATCGACCTACGTTCGAGGTCTCGCGAACGAGATTGCCCTGCTCCGGGCTGACCTCGCGCTCTTACGCCTTCAGCCACCCCCACCCTCACAGGTGGCCGCGCCTTCGCGCGCACCCACTACCTCCTCTACCCTTCCTCCCATGCAGGCTCGCTTTCCGCACCCTTGCACCCTATACAACTCCTTCCTACCTTCTTCCTACTCCCGCGGTTGCTGCGACCTCTTCTACCGCAGCACCCTCGCAGTCTGCCGCTGTTGTCACCGCCGCTCCCCCATGCGGCCCGGGCGCACAGTCAGCTGCACCCCTTTCTCCAGGACCTACGCCGACTTACTCAGCCGTGGCACAGGCCTCCGCTCCTCGATCCCCTCGCCGCCAAAACGGTGGCGCGCCACTCATCCGCTTGTCGGACATTGCCTTGTATGACGGTATAGGCATACGCGTGTCCCGGTGGCTGCAGTCTGCCACCCGAACACTCCAGCTCATGGGCGCCACACCCGAGACGTGGGTGGGTCACCTCTCCACGCGCCTGCTTGGCGGTCCTTTCGAGGCCTGGGAGGATTTCTA